CACGCGATCCGGACCTTCTGTCCCGCGCGTCGCTTCTTGATTCCTATGGAGTGTGTTGTTCCCGGGGATAGTCGTCGCGAAGAATACGCCTTAGACTTAGGATCAGGTAAGACTAGCCGGAAAAACGCAGAAACGGCGTGCGACGGCTCGCCGGGAATCACGGTGGGGAAGAAAGATAGAGAGAGAGGCACATTCGTCATTATTACCATTGACCGTTAGCCCCGAGATCTACCCATTCGGGTTCCACAGGAAGTGGGCCGGTCGGATCAAGGACCAGGCTGCCCTTTTCCATTTTGAAACGGACCATTCAGGTGTAATGGTCAGTTAAAGACTATCCAAACAGAAGATACCGCCGGTTCCTTCGATGAGCTTCCGTGCCCTCTACCCGAGTTTCCCATGATCAAAAATCTCGCTCTTGGGATCTATCTCTAGGAGAGGGATCGACTTCTTTGTTCGCGTGTCCAGTCTATGCCGATAATCGAATTGGAGTTTGAAACTTAGTTTTCGTCTTGTATACGTCTGCCAAAAGACAGTAACATTGCAGAAACCAGTGCGTTATCATTATATTGACGAAATTTGAAGTCATTGTGTTTTCTTCTGTATCATTTGCGTTCGCTTTCATTTAACGAGATTCGCGTTTCATAGATTAAGTTCGCTAGTTGTTACCTATTTACAAATTTACGGCCATAACACGATCTGAATAATCGGAACGAGCCCACCCGTGGTTACCTAAATAGAGGAATCATCTCGAGAATATTTATCCACGTGATCTTCGAATAACAAACGCGGAAATCCTTAAATCCTAAATCAACCTGGCGCGAGCCGAAAGCAGACTGCAAACAAACGGCGGCAGTCGAACCGTAGAGGACTTGCGGTTCAATCTGGTAAAAGTCAAATATTGGATCACTAAATAAGACGTGCTTTCGGGGCCGGTTGAGTTAGGCGATTTTACGGCGATGCGCCTGAAGAATGCATTTTCAATATTCTACATCATTTCGTACAATTACGAAATTGATATTTCTCATCATGTTTACTAAATATCAACGTTTAAAAATATAATATAATCAGGCTTGAATGAGTTTTTTAAAATAAGTATAGAATTAATTTGGCTTATAAAATTAACTTAGTTAAATTAAAAGTAATATAAACAAAAAGTTATTTAATTAAAAGTTAATTGTATCAAACAATATATATGTTTTTTGCATAATTAGTTTTTTAATAGTACATTAAATTCATGTGAAATAATAGAAAGATAGTTGTTTATTAGAAAATATATCAAATGTTCTGATTATCCAGTTGTTTTGTCCCCAGGATTCCAGAACTCTAACATTCAGAGACACACCAAAGAATGCTGTTGGCATTTTTTATTTTTTTTAATCTACATAGTAAGCACCTTGTAATAATTTTAATATTCATGAGAATTATTTTAATTTATAGAAAAAGTTAATAAGTTAAAGTTAATGCATTTTAGAGCAACTAATTTAAGCTAAACATTGTCTCATTTAAAATTAACTGTGTTAAGTCATTATTTTTTCAACTTTTAACTGGTTATTATTCAACCATAGATATAATAAATAAACATATAAGTTATTTAACATATACGCATACGAAACAATATTTAGCTCAAAATATCTCGTCGTTGTAGTTGTAAAAAATGCTTTTCACGAAGCTCCTAACTCGTTCCTTATCTGAAACGAGGTACATATGCAGCAGCAGTAGTATGGCATGTTGATGACGAAGAGCAGAAAACGAAGAAACTAAGGGTAAGACAATGGCCGCTGTCCAAACATGTTCGGACTTCAAAAACGACCGCCAGCACGTCTCGCGACTGTACGTGCATTAGCGGTCTGCGATAGAGAGAGAGAGAGAGAGAAAGAGAGAAAGAGTGGGGTTGCTGCGCGTCGGAGTGTTGTTTAAGGACATCCGGCGTCTGGAATAATAAATATTTGGGAAGGTGCTATATATATGTATGGAACGATGCAGACGTAGCGAAGCCTTTCATTTGTCAGGACACGCCGAAATTAGTGTACCAGAGGCAGCAACGAAACGCGGGGCAAGGAACAACTATTTTACTAGGACCAAATTGCTGTTGCGCGGCTGCAAGCTGCAGCATTGTTGCAATCGACTGCTTGGCCTGGCGCTTTTAACCCCAGCTTGTACCTGTACAGTGGGTTTCAAAACAATTTAAATACAATAAAACTGTCAAAATTGAAAGTCATTACCGACGAATTTACGCGATAATAATAATAATAATTACTATTATTATTATATAATTATAATATTAATTATTATAATATAATTATACTTTATTTATATTATAATTATAATTAATATAATTTAATTATTATTATTATTATTATTAAATTATTATTATTATATAAGTATAATAATTAATAATATTTATAATTAATAATAATAGAATTAAGAATATTTAATAACAATAATAATTAATAACATAAGACAAGTCCATTAGTAATAATTCAGTTTTGCCAGTTTAGTTAATTTCATTGTCTAAACTGTCTGAACTATTTTGCAACCAACTGTACAATTCTTTGTAGAAGAAAAACAATTTATTTAATATTCAAAAAGCATATCTATTTGTAATTATTTCACATCATACAATTTAACACATTGATTGCCGTTTGTAAAAAAAAAAAATTAAAATCAATTTAGAATTAAAGTGAAATGATGATCAATTTATCAAACCAATAATTAAATCAAAATTAATTGTTGTATAAATCATTGCGTAAATGATAAAAAAAATATAGAGTTATAAAATAATCTATAATATTATATATAATAAATATATAATATAAAATATTTTATATATAATATAAAATAACGTATAATATAATAATGTAAGAAGACTTCTTTGATTAATACGGCAATATAAAGAACCGAATTTCTGTGTCCACTTTTTTAAGGCTATAATGAGTTTCAATGATTAAACGAAATCCTTTCGCACTGTAAAACGACCGAAGTATCGTTTACGAGTGTTCTTTAAAAGTCTCGTGGTCGATCGATATTCGGAATTATCTTCCGTTAATGATGTCCGCCAATATGTTCCACATTAATTATACACAGTTGGCAATGAGATATCAAGTGTCTCTCGAACGAAATCCCGTCAGTTCAGTTTCACGTAAAATCTCGCGATTAATTCATACTTCGATTTCATAGTTTCGGTGTGAATCTTGATTATAAATGAACCAGTCTTTTTAAATAAATGACCGAAATGATCAGTTTAAAATGTTTGTTTGCCATCATAGTTTTTTTGTAAGAGACTTTGATATTTTTACCGACTTTGCAATCTTTATCAAGAAATGTCCCGATAATTGCAACGAATTTTACTGACCACGAGTCGCTCCCAGCGACCAGCTGGGAGATATAGCACGCGCTCGCAGCGTCGGGCAAGCAGCTGGCGCGGTGTCGGACCGTCGTCGCATTATCGCGCGTACGATTTTATTTTTCAAGCGATCCCGAGTGGCGACGCGCGTATCTGCATACGCCGAAGATTCATCCACTGAGTTGACTGACGAGCGCCGCCCTCCCCTAATCGTTCGATCGCCAAAAAATTTACAAAAAAGCCGCGGCACGCCGCACGAGAGAACGAGTGATGGAGAGAGCGACAGAAGAGAGCCGGGGAGGAGGGGGG